TTCGCCCTATGATAGTAGTAAATTACATTTGTTAATATACTAACATTTTTCTTATTTTTGTAACTGAAAATTGTAAGTTGTCTTATATTATAACTCTTATGTGAGAATGGATTAGAATTGACTTGTGATGTTAGAGTTGGATTAAACATTATAAGTGACCTAAAAACTAGTTGAATCAATATTTATGTTATAAGTGACCTAAAAACTAGTTTAATCAATATTTATGCCAATGTGACTATAACGCTACTAAAATAGTACCAATAACCCAATTCACATGAGAAGTGAATGCAATAGAATTAATATACTTTCATTCATGGTATTACATGCATTGTGCATTCATAAATACTCATCCTGAATCTACAACATATGATACTAGATGATAACAACAAAATAAATGCCCTACGGTCTTACATATTTCGAAGACTTGCTTGGTTACAACAAGAGAGAATCACAAGCTCTGTACATTCAGTAGCCCTTGGCTTGAATGAACATATAAACACAAAACACCAAAAAGAAGAGTCTTTTGCTCGTAAGTCCTCCCAAACTATGTCTTTAGAGGAGGCATGTCACTGGTACCTGAAAATGGTGTCCCAAGTAAGGTGAGCTAAAACCCAGTAGAAACAGTTTAACACAATATATGAGATTTAACTAAGATATAAGTGTCAAGTATGTATATTCAATAATTATAACCAAAATACATCTTCTTCACGAGACCACCCGATACCAACATTCAAATCTAGATCAATTCCCATTCATTCATTTCAAATTTGTTCACTTCATTTCAATTCATAGGCCAGATTTATAATTTACCAAGTAACCCCAACCGAGAGTACAACTCAATGGTTTTCAACCGACATAACAAACATATAAACACTTCAACCTTGTCATTTTACGAAAATTTCGTCCACAGGATCGGCACCCATGTATATATATGATTTTGAGACTTTCACTCTGGACACTCTGGCCAACTTAATATCAATAGAATTCATCCCCTATCTCCTCCCAAAACATGGAATACATCGCCTTCCTCCTTCCAAAACATTATACATATATAATGTATTTAAAGATACCATCATATTCAATGACATTCAATTACACATATTCAATGTATTTAACACACCGTCATATTTAATGACATAATTAAATGATTAGTTTCAATTTACCTAATCCTCATGCAATTTTTACAACAATCATAGTCATCCTCTACCGATGGCCCAATACAGTTATTTCTAAACAGATATACAATCTTTATGACAAACAATTCACCATTCAACTTCCATACAACCCAAGTATATTCCAACCTCAATAATTTAGTAATACAAAATATGTAATACAAAATATATTCCCTCCATTCGACATATGTAATACAAAATATCAACCTGATAATCAATCCTAAAATTAGTAAATAAAATTGGAGTGTAAAATATACAATTCTGGTGCTGCATTCTTAAATATACATTCATTTCTGAGTTTCCACAAGGACCAAAGAGTTATTGTTAGGATGGCTCCCCCCACCCAACACACACACACTACGGATAGCCCATTGTGAACCCCACCAACTCAAAATGGCAGACACACCCTCCAAACAAAGGGACAATGCTGTAGCACGTGAAGTGATGATTCCTCCTCATTCTTGGACAAACCACAAAGTGTAGATGCATTGCCATTAAAGACTCCAATTCTCTGCAAGAACACTACAGTTTTGACCTTATTCTTCCAAGCAAGCCACCTAAAAAACTGAACTTTAGGAGGAAGAGTATTATAGATTGCAAGCAGTATGAATTATCAACAACTTAGGGCCTGTTTGGACATCTCTTCCCTCAACATACCAAACACATTAAAATTGATTGTCATGTTGTCTGGGATAAAATTCACGGTCCAAACTTGAAGGAGCGTGTTAGAGATACAGCTGCATACGCTTGAAGACAGCCCCTAATTAGCAATTTTATTCAACAAACATGGGCTTTGATTGTACATTCCTTGTATCTATTCTGGCAGTTATGTATTCCTGGATTCAACCCCTTGATTTCTCTGCTAATTTGACCTACAATGACATGGCATGCTAGGTGTCAATTTTTTATTTGTAACAAATTCAACTATGTAAGGCTCCACTCCCTTCCCACATCATTATGGGTGAATTTAGCAATCTAAATTGTGGGTTTTAACATTTCTCTTACATATAATGAGAAAGTGAGATACTGTATTAATTCATGCTGCAGCAATTTCATGTCTTTTACTCTGTTCTAATCAGAGCAGTATGAGAAAGAACAAAAACATACCCATGTGGGGACAAAGAAGGAAGCAGAAAGAACCAACATGCCTGCAGTGGGAAGGGAAATAGCAGGTGCACCTCACTCTCCTGATTCTCTTCTTGTCCTTCTTCCACACCATATGGGTCCTGACCAGAGCTTGTGAAGGAGAGTACAATTCATTGTTGCTAGAGCACAGCTGAAATGAGTAAAGACATAAAATGAATCCCACTGGGTTGAATTTGAAATTAGGTGATTATAAATATGATACATACACATTTATATATTTTTTTGATGGTGAATTAATTTAAATAAATCACATAAAAAACTAAATGCTCAAATACTTCCGAGATACTTGCCATCAACAATCCCCATTCTGTGTTGATTCCAACACCAGTTACCTTCAGACAGCAAAAGAGTTTATTTATTACCTTCAGAGGTCCAATATTGCATACATCAGCAATTTCATAAAAACAAATTTGTATGTCCGACAAATCAAACCCACTTAAATAGGCTACACTCACCTGATCACCAATCTTAAGAGGTATAACATCACCAACAACAATGTCATATATTGAAATATTTTCTCTCCTACCACCTCTTACAACCTGCATAATAATTCATAAAAATAACAATGTAGCATCCTAAGGTTAATAGATTAAAAATAAAGTAAATGCTTCATGTTGTAATTGCACACCTCCAATTGTATATTTCTCTTCTTCTTTTTTTTTAAATAACAATTTTGCTATCCCACTGCTCAAATAAATTATGAAAATGCTCTCCACGAGGAAGAAATTCTGCACATTATGAAAGTAGTGATAAGGAATGGAAACATCTATATAATTGCTTCATTCAACCAATTTAATTTACCTCTGAGAATTGCAAAATTATCTGGGATAGCCTAAGGACCTTAAACCATCAATATGATAAGATAGCAACTCAAGCAGCTCCAGCAGCAGCTACTCAAGCTCACAACAACAGCAGCAGCTCAGCCACAGCTACAGCAGCAGAGCAACAGCATCTCAGCCATAGCAGAGCAGAACAACAGACAGCAGCTTCATGTTCGAAAAAGTTGAGTTGAGAATTTTATGACATAATTTTAATTCTACACAATCAACTAAAATTAACTTTGATTTTATCTATTCCCAACCATAACAATAGCGTGATTCAAATGAAATTACATATAAAAGTATGACAGGAGGACATGAATACTAGTCTTTTTTTAATTCATTCAATGGGACATTAATTCTTTTTTTTTTTTTTTTCAAAAAGAAGATAAAATTCTACATTTACTATAAGATAATTCAAAGCCCAGTGGTTTTGCCAACTGATACATACTGTGAGTTTTTACCATTATTTGTATATGTGGTTTATGTTTAAAGCAAAGATCAGAAGGAAAAATTTGAAGGAAGAGAGAGTTACCTGACAAAGGGTAGCAGGGGATAGAGTAATTTGATCATAATACCGTGGATTCATTGTGACAATGACGACAATCGAAGACTTCGTTGTAGCAGGGAGCTCTAATGTGAATTAAGTTTGATATCAATGCAAAGCAAACATAGATGAAAGAGTGACAAGCAACCTTATCAGAACATTAGAGAGAGCATTTGGACCAGTAGGAACATGAACAATGTGACTGCTGTCATTATCGTTTACAGCAACAAGAAGGGCTTCTAGCTTTTCTGCTTTCCCCTTATCTTCTTCACCAAAATTAACAATATCAAGGGCTACACTGTTCTTTTTTAACTTCCTTCCAATCATGCAAAAATGGAAAAATGTTGCTTTGCTAAATTATGCAAAAATGTTTCTTTGATACATTTCACAACAACATAATGGGTAAAGATTAACACACTCGAGATTAGAAAAGTTCAAAACAAATAGGGTCAGCATTTTCTTCTTCCTTTTTGGAAAAAAAGAAAAGAAAAATGGGTTTCAGACCGATGACAAGAACAAATTTTTCAAAAAAAATAAAAAAACCAATAAAATTGACCAAAGTCCTGAACTGACAATGAAGCATTGCAACCTTTTTACTTCATAAGAACAGAGGTTCACAGACTCAGCTTGAATCAGAAAGTGCAAGATCATAGACCCAATTAGAAGAAATAACAATACTTTAATAATAAAGAGTCAAGAGTCTTACTTTCCAAACTTCAATATTTCATTGGCTTCAATACATAAAGGTGAGGATTATCTTCGAACTCTGCAGGGAACAAACAAGTATTGTAATTAAACCCAGAGATCCAGTTGTCATGGTCTTTGAAGCAAACATTTCAAATATGAAATAATAGAACTAATATGATTAGTACCAAAAATCCTTCACTAAACAGTAACGAGACATTGCATTAGCTTGGGAAATGGATTTGTGATTGGTTCCATTCATAACTGGGTTGCTTCGACATACCTTTTATTTTTAATTTCCACCTCATTAGCTTACATTCCCAAACAATTAGTGATAAGCATAACTTAAAAAATTAACAAATTCACAGAAATTTTCAAAAGTGCAAACCTAACCCATAAAAACCATGCAATGCCATTGCCACTATGTTGGTCATTTCAGAATCTAAATTAACAGTATCTTCTTAAAACTTTCTCTACCATTGATCAATGAAGTTACTTTATGACATTACTATCTACAGTTTTCAGACACACAGGGCTGTACATTAACCATGAAAACTTTCTCTACTATTGACCAATGACACATCTAGCACTGCCCATGTTACCAGATTGTTGCTAGAGCACAGCTGAAATGAGTAAAGACATAAAATGAATCCCACTGGGTTGAATTTGAAATTAGGTGATTATAAATATGATACATACACATTTATATATTTTTTTGATGGTGAATTAATTTAAATAAATCACATAAAAAACTAAATGCTCAAATACTTCCGAGATACTTGCCATCAACAATCCCCATTCTGTGTTGATTCCAACACCAGTTACCTTCAGACAGCAAAAGAGTTTATTATATTCATGATGAAAGCATAACCAAAATTGATTATATTATGAAAAATCATAGGAAATTATTCCAAGACCGAAAATTAGGGTATAAAATACGTTCTTTTGAAATAAAAGTATATATAGAGAGAGCAAGAGAGGGAAATAGAGAGTTAATTTCCAGATTCTGCAAATGCATGAATAGGATGTTCATTCAACAATAAGACAAGACCAACTGGAAATTAATAAGACAAAATAAATAACAACAGAGGTCCAATATTGCATACATCAGGAAAAATAAAATATTAGGTACTTTACCAGCATAGTTCCAGCACCATCTGCAACCTTGCAACCAGACAGCAAAAATGGTGCTTTTTGATCTTTGTGAATCTAGAAAATGACACAGCTCGTGAGAAAATAGTCTTACATATATTTCACAACAAGATCTAAATAACTTACAATCTTGCTTTCCCCAGTCATGCTAGATTCATCGATGGCAAGAGAATGACCAGAAATTATGATTCCATCTGCTGGGACCTGGGAAAAATGGAAAGGTAACAACCTATTTTTTCTCGTGTTCATAAGCAGTAATATCTACAGTTGCAATAGTGGATTCATAAAAACAAATTTGTATGTCCGACAAATCAAACCCACTTAAATAGGCTACACTCACCTGATCACCAATCTTAAGAGGTATAACATCACCAACAACAATGTCATATATTGAAATATTTTCTCTCCTACCACCTCTTACAACCTGCATAATAATTCATAAAAATAACAATGTAGCGTCCTAAGGTTAATAGATTAAAAATAAAGTAAATGCTTCATGTTGTAATTGCACACCTCCAATTGTATATTTCTCTTCTTTTTTTTTTTAAATAACAATTTTGCTATCCCACTGCTCAAATAAATTATGAAAATGCTCTCCACGAGGAAGAAATTCTGCACATTATGAAAGTAGTGATAAGGAATGGAAACATCTATATAATTGCTTCATTCAACCAATTTAATTTACCTCTGAGAATTGCAAAATTATCTGGGATAGCCTAAGGACCTTAAACCATCAATATGATAAGATAGCAACTCAAGCAGCTCCAGCAGCAGCTGCTCAAGCTCACAACAGCAGCAGCAGCTCAGCCACAGAAAACGGTAAATTTCCCAATTGAGTTTTTGGAATCAATGCCCCCTTTGAAAGCTTAGATATCTTTACTACCAACATGCCTCCTAAAGCTCTATAATTGTGTTTACATTATCTAATTATTAAATTCTGATATGTTTAATTTCCAGCCAATGGAAAGCCAACTTTGTTAATAGGGTTTGTACCAACTTAATTGCATTGTGCAGTTTCTGTTGGGGAACAAGTACATATATTGTTATGTTGGTACTGCATCGCGTAATATAAATAATAATTACACAAGACAAGTGAAATTCTACCTCAATTAATTGTGAAAACAAAAACACATTTTAACTCAGCACAAGTTCAACATTAGAGTATGGCCATACCAAATTGAAGGAAACTGCATGGATTGAGATGTAGACAATCTCAATAAGACAATTCATGCTTGTGACAGTGTGTCCGCAATTGCAGTGGGAATGATCCACTTCTAACAGTGTTCCTTATTAGTCTGCAAACCAAACCACAATACAATAAATAAAAAAAAAAAAACTTTCAATCCAACAGGAAAGCTATCAAAGCATATAGCAATATAACTACTTTTAAGCAAGTCAATACTCAAATACTGGATTCAATTGCCACTAGATACCATCATTAGTTGAATTTGGTCCAAGAAAGCCCATAAACTCGAGCACATTTGGATGGAGGAGAAATTAATCATAGAATGGAAACAAATTAGTTACCTCATTTCTAGCAATTGCTTTGTCCATAGCTTCACATAATCCCTTTGTATCCTGACCACAACATTGCAAAGTCAGCAACGTTTGGACTCAACACAGACCCCTGTCATAAAACAAATATAATCACAATGCTCCTTATTACAGGGCCTCACTGTCCCGGCATAAGCACAGTTAGTCTCCACAACCATCCAGATAAGATGTAATATCAGTAAAATAAGCATTTTTGATTTCTTAAGAGAACATTAATTATCATACAACACGAGAAGTAACAGTGTGTAGGATTCTATTATTTTGATTTCTTCTATCACTTTTTCTCTATGCCTTTTTTGAGAGAAAGATTGGGGAAAGAATACACTACAGTGAGAAAAGCAGGTACCATGACAGATAGAGACAACAATGGCATAAACATTTTTAGAAGAAGTGGATCCAAACTATTTGACTATGGGAAACAGAATAGCACAAAAGCAAAGTAGTATTAGTATAAAGATGTTATAAAAGAATTTAAGAAATACCTCAACAGGCCATCCATCCACCACAAATACATCCAAAGAATAACCACCAGTAGTTGAGAACACGTGTGCCTCACGGATGTTAATTCCTTTGTCAGAAAGCAAAGCAGAAAGCTAGAACAAAATGGTACAGAGTTAGAAGTCAACAGTCGTGTAAAAAATAAAAAACGAACAAAAAGAAAAGATAAGTCTACCAAATGGATGATAACGTCAACACACCTAATGAAGTGATGTGAGAAATCTATATATGAAAACACAGTCATCATCCACAAAATGGCATGAAATCAAACCCTAAAATCAAACCCATTTACAACATCAAACCCATAAAACTCTAGTAATGAAACCACTTCAAACAAACCCATTTCAGAAATGAAGGCAAAATTAAATTGAATGGGTAGAATAAACAACCAGAGAGAAAAAGTTCACAGTTGGGGAAATGGAAGGGGTAGAGAGAGAGAGACAAAGAGAGAGAGAGTGAGTGAGAGCGAGACAGAGAGCGATAGAGCAAGAGAGTGAAAGGGAGTGAGAAAGAGAGCGAACCTGTTAGTGGCTGTGACGGTGCTGATTTACAGTGTACGGGGACCGACGATGCTAAGGATGTGCGGTCATGGGGTTTGCAAAGAATTTTAAACTTGAAATAGATGTTGCAAGACAAGGTGACAACATAAATGACAAGCTCCACTGTAATTAAGCGACATTCAACAAACCAATTACATGACTGAAGCAAGTCTATTGCAGGCATCTCAGGTGAGGCCAAAGAATAAAAAGTTGGATTTTAAACTATTGAGCATAATGGTAAAAGATATATATAATAAGAATTTCAAGTTCCACAGATAAGTACCTCTTCCCCCAACAGTTTGACCCGCTTCCTTGTAATGGTGCAATTTCATATCAGCAAAATAAGAAAATAATGGGCTAAATTCTAATCACCAAAACTGTATATGATTGTCATAAAGGTGTATTAAATCAGAAAAGGCAAAGTTCAAATAATTTGGACACTAACATGGGCATAATGATTGTGTCAAAAAATGTGCACTACTATATGAAAAATAAGGGTACATTGATAAAGGAACTAGTAACGATAAGATTGCCAGGCTTGAAGTTAGCTTCTGTTACCAAACAAATTTAAAATTAAAATCACTTACCGGGTTGGTGGTTGCCGACCAAACTGATATAGAAGAGTTTGCTATAAAGTCAATCGTTGCTAAAACAGAGAAAACTGAAGTTAAGAAAGAGATGGAATGAAGAAACAAAGAAACAACCCAACAATCGAAAATTAATCATTTTAGAAAATTCATTTTAGAAAGATGGTTTTAGAAAATTAATCATTTTACAGATAATAATAAGAATAGAACAACACTCACAAACTAAATCCACAATCGAAGCAGTTTTTTTAATTTAAAAAAAAAACCCTAACTTTAAGCTAATTCCAACAACCCAACACGCAACGCAACACATGAACAAAATATTGAAATTCCAATAAACAATCACATTAATTGCGAATTTCGATCGCTAAATGATGGGGAAAAAACAAAAAAATTAAAAATTCACCTCGAGTTTTTGCAAGGCGACTGACTCGAACGGGCCGGCGATGCTCATGAAGGTCTCGATTGCTTCTTGATTGGATCTCGCCATTAGAGAAGTCCACGAATTTGCAGAGAGATTGAGAAAGGGTCTTGATTGTATTCTCCGAACTCATTTGTGTGTTTTTCCAGAACAAGAGAGAGAGAGAGAGAGAGAGAGAGAGAGAGAGAGAGAGAGATTGCAGAGAGATTGAGAAAGGGTCTTGATTGTATTCTCCGAACTCACTTGTGCGTTTTTCCAGAACGAAAGAGAGAGAGAGAGAGAGAGATAAATTAGAGAACAAAAGAGGGGTTTACCTATCTTAGAAAAAAAGAGGAAATTTTAAGAGGTACCATCGCCTCAATTTTTAGAGGCAGATCACCCAAAAAATAAAAATAAAAATATTTTTTTTTCAAAATTGAAATTAATTTGAGAACTATAAAAATCAAAAACATATTTTAAATTTTTTTAAAATTATTTATGACTTCCTAAAAGATAAAATTATACAAAAATAATAATTATTTTTTTATTTTTTCACCAAATTTTGTTTTTAGTTTTTCAAAAAAAAAAATTGAAACAAGATTCTGAAAATAAAACCAAATATATTGAAATTGATAATCTAATATTCTTTGGAAAAGGTTAAATTATCTCAAATTAGCCATCTCAACTTATGAGCGTGTTTGGGCTTAATGAGTTCATTTTGTGATCTAATTCAATAATCACTTTAATTTTACAATTCAACAACTAGAATATTTAAAACTCTTTGAAAAATTATAATAAAAACACAAATCACTAAACCCCCACATTTCACTAGAAAATTTTTTACCGACGAATAGTGTTATCGTTGCTAAATATAGTTTTGCCTATGAGAAATTAACGTCGTCGCCAAAAGTGCAATTTCTTGTAGTGTGCCGACAAATATTTGGTCGCTAAAAGTAAATTAAATACCGACTAAATTATTTTCCGACTAAATATAAATTAAAAATCTTAAATTATCTTAAATATTTGTCCTAATATGTTTTTTTACTGAAAAATATAATGATATATTTTAAAATATTATATTTTTATATTTTCTTATATTCTCAGAGTTTATCTCAGCGATGAAGCCTCTGGATCTCGTGGTGGTGGCGGTGGATCTATGAAGATTGGCGGAGGAGGAGGCGGCGTGAAAAGAGGCGGTACTCACGATGACGATGGCGATGGCGGAGGAGGAGGAGGTGCTCTGGTTTCCGGCGAAGGCGAGGAAGAGCGGCAGTGAGAGAGGGAGGGGAGAGGAGCAACGCTGAAAATAGAGAAGAGAGAGGGGGGGAGAGGTGCTGATTATTTTAGGGCTTGGTTTGGTACAAAATTTAATTATTTGTTTTCATTCAGCTACCAAATGATTTAGTAGCCGAAAGTAGGTCTAAAGCGACTAAAAGGAATTTTGTCTCTGAAAATATATTTTTTGCGACCAAAATTTTGGTCGCCAAAGATTAAAAATTAAATTTTTTATTTTCATTTGGCTACCAAACAATTTAGTAGCCAAAAGTAGGTCTGCAGCGACTAAAAGGAATTTTGTCGCTGAAAATATATTTTTGGCGACCAAAACTTTAGTCGCCAAAGATTAAAAATTTAATTATTTGTTTTCATTCGGCTACCAAACGATTTAGTAGCCAAAAGTAGGTCTACAGCGACTAAGCTACCAAACAATTTAGTAGCCAAAAGTAGGTCTACAGCGACTAAACGTTATTTTGTCGCTGAAAATATATGTTTGGCGACCAAAATTTTTGTCTCCAAAGATCAAAAATAAATTTTTTAATTTTCATCCGGCTACCAAACAATTTAGTAGCTAAAGGTAGGCCTTTGGCAACTAAAAAGTAATTTAGTCGGTGAATCCCCCGTTTTTGGCGACCAAAATTTTGGTCGCCAAAAATATATTTTCAGCGACAAAATTACTT